CTTGAATTCTCTCGTGAAATAATTTCTTAACTAACAACGTTGGTGAACATTGAAGAATTGCAAGTCACAAAACTTAATCTCTAAACTTCATTTATCACAGTAATACAGAAGAGATTACGAACATCTGTGTCTTGTACAAAGTGAAATATAATAACAATGTTAGTTCGACCGTGCAAGAGAACACTGTAGTTTTTTGGAACTTCCATTTCATTCTTTCGTCTCTGATCTTCGTACATCTTTCATTTCTACTGCAGTTAAACTTTTGTTGTAAAATATTGTTGTCATGCTGTTGTCTCTTGCCACTTTTGCAGAAAGGAAACGAAATTATTCCATGTAATATCTCTCATCGTTTCTGCAGAAATCGAGGAAACCAGATTTGATGAGAAATCACACTTTACAGTTTCTTTAATTTTGGCGCTGTCACGAGCACTCCAGTAACGAGCTGCTTGAAATTTTCGCTTCTTTCGCTTCTCTATGAGCTTCTACTCATAGAATTCAGGTCTGTTCGTTTGGTTCATCCAAACTTCTATCATTTCCCTATGTATCCGGTCGCGTTCCTCGCGAAAGGTGTTTGCGCATTCGTTCTCAGATAAAATTGCCCTCTGACTCTAGAATCCACGGCAAATCCCATTAAAACATCAGGCGTCCACCTGCAAGCCACTTGGATGTTAGGGTGCCATTTTGGGCATCGACTTGCGGGGAATCCCAAAGGATTTGCCACAGATTCCGCGTACAACATCCACGCTCTGTTATGCCCACAGACGACTAGATTGGAAAAAAACAACGATTCGTCAATAGAAATTAGATTATTAACTATATAGAACTGTATGGAGAGATAATGTGAAAATTCTAATTCTAGTATGAACAATTATTTTTTTATTCTTCTTTGATTTTTTGGTAAGAATATCATGGAATTGCACCGTATCTCTATTTTCGGACAGTTTTGTTATATTATTATTATAATAAAATCATTGAATGCAAGACTGTTTATAATATTAAAATTTGATATCTTTTCTTCGTATTTAGTTTCGTTAATACCATTCAAATTATTCTATAATGAATTAAATGATATTAATGAGTAAATGAAATTTTAATTGTAGTGCCTTCTGAATTTTTCACTGTACAACGTGGTGATTTACAGAAAGGATGTGTTATTATTCGTTTAATATGAAATGTTTGAAGAAAATATTAAAACAATATTATAATAATTAATTCTTTCGTTGATTATTTATTGTACTATCTGAAGATTTCATTCTTCTGATTTCTTGTAACAAGTCTGTTCGTAATCATGGAATTACTAGTGATCATCCGTTGGTTAATTAATATTTGATTTGAATATATTGCATCTTTAAAAGTTGAGAAGATTTGTTGAAACTTTGAAAACACCGCGGTGAGGTTCACGTGTAAGAAAGAACGTGAACAATAATTTATCGTAATGTTACAAATGCTTTGATTCCTGGAAATTTTATGTATCTCTAAGATCTACGTAGTCAAAGAAATAAAACGAAAAATTAATATTTTCTGTCGATATTAAAAAAAGTGGAATTTGACAATATAAATTGATTGAAAGTATGATTATTTATACATTCGAAATTTTAACTTTAACTAGAAGTATAATAAAAAGTATAGAATAACTTCTAAAAGATATGAGTCCATACTATACTGGTTGATGAGTCTCGACATGCTTCTCCGGATCACGCTCTCCAAATTGCACCCAGGTTGAACAGGTGTGCCACCGTTCGGATAGAAGTCCGCGTGTCCCAAAGGATTCAGGAAACCAAAATTCCCACCATCAGTGTGAATCACGTCTACGAACATCGCGTCGCTCCTCGTCAGATGTCCATCTTTGCCTGTGTTCATGTAAAGGGGATAGGCCGCATCCAGCCCCGTGATCCTTCCAATCTTAAATTGAAATTGATAACCGCCGGTTACTTTGTACATGTGTCGCGCGTTTGATACCTTCTTCGATACCTTTCGCGGCGCAAGAGCTTTCCCCATGAAACCGGCGATCTCAGCCCCCAAGCTGAAACCAATTACGTGCAAGTTGGCCAGGGACACAGCCCTCTGAGCGTCCAGCCAGTTCACCAGACGCGCGACCTGAGGTCCAACTGTTCTCGTGTTTCGAACCGCTGTCACGTACCATGGCAGTCCGGCTAGCTTGGCCCAGTTCACCAGGATTAGATTGTACTCGCCTCGTTTCAGATAAACTGAAAGACGTTTCGTAACTTTTTCAGGGGATGGTGCAGTTTTTGTTGTCGAGGGGATGGAAAGATATGCGACAGGAATGTAAAATAATAAGAGATTAGAATTATTTGCGATATTGATTTTACAGAATTCGATGACATTTTGGATAAGAATTTTGAATCACTTTCCTGTTTTCACTAATCTCGTTTTAAATACGCTAAAAGATGTCTAGTAATTCTTCTGACTATATGTTTTTTTTTTCTTAAGAAATCTTCAACTTTGGAAATATTCTTTTAAATGAAAAAGATACTTAATTCAGGGTGTCATAAAATATGTGACATCTGGATATTAAATTAATGGACGAAATGTATGCACATGAATGTCGTTTGATGCTAGTTTCTCAAACAGCACTTTATATTAGAAATCTTATTCTTCCTCTCTATGTCATTCACACTTTCTGAGATCGACAAATTAAAACGAATGATCAGATTAGATTTCAATTATTAAAAAAATCTAAAAAGGTGTAGAGAGAAAGTTTCAGTAAGTGAACCTTAAACGATATAAATTTTTTCATTGCATTCATATTTAGAATCCTTACAAATATTCGCTATTATATTGAGATCTATATTCGTTCATTTCTCACAAATTTAAAATTCCAAGGATCTATCCAAAGTGGACACTTATTCTAATATTAATAGTTAGTAAATGAAACGAATTTTCCACTTCTTTAATTATTTCCAGAAAAATATAACTACTTATATTACTACTCGCGTATTTTCCACAAAAAAAAAAAAAAAA